AGCGCCATGTCAGCCTGACTCTAGAAACTTCATGAATATTCTTGTATATTCATCGTTATGAGAGATATTTGTATAGAAATCTATAGAGGACTAACCCCTAACCATTGGATGTAAAGCATTCTCCAGAAGAGATGTCTAGACCATTATATAAAGGGGAGGCTCCCCCATATAAAGAGGCGAGGGGACCTAATTTGTATCCAAGCAAGTTATAGTAATAAAAACTTAGAACTTGGTCTCCAACCTCATGTGTTTTCTTGCATCTCTTGTGAATACTAGTGTTGAAATACTGGCAGTGAGGAGTGGTCTTAGGTGTCAAAGGGAGTGGAAGAGAACACAACTACTAGATTAGAGGAAGCTACAACGAGAATCAAGCATGGAGTAGTCAGCCTCAGATCGAAACAAATAATATTCAAGCCAAGATGCAACTATAGACGCCAAAGATAACAAAGTGGCTAGTATTGACTATTGAGGAGATAACAAAGTGGCTAGTATTGACTATTGAGGCTCTGTTGTGGCTAAGAGAGGAAAAATCTTTATGGGTGAGAGGATCTCAAAGAGCTAGGAGATGGAGTAAGGGATGTGGAATCTTAAAGGTGGTGTGGTGCAGCAGTAGAAAGTTTCATAGTGATAACGGTTATGTGGACACTAGTCAGCAATTTGTCACGGAAGATGGGAATAAAGGGTTTGATGAAATAAAAGAAAGAATAGAAAAAATATTATATTCTCATTGATTATTAAGATGAGGGAAACACACATATTTATAAACTTTATGAAATATCTATAAAAGTAAAATCTTGTAGAAAATGAAAGCTAGAGTAAAGAAAAATCATAAGAAGGTAAATCTATAATAAAAATCTAGAATATGCAATAATGTCTTCTAATACTCCCCATGAATTTGGAGCATAGACATTAGCGAAACATAGCCAGTCCCGAATAATTTTCTCATCATAGTATCTCAGTTAGATCAACACAAAAGTGAGACTGAGACGGACACAATCGTATCAACAATTAATAGAAATAGTAAAAGCAAAAATAACGCCTAGAAAAAGAAGCTTTCAAAGTAACGTCAAGTAAAAGATGCAACCAATGTCGAGAAAAAGAAGGCTTGTAAGTGATGTCAAGATAAATATAACCCATGATTCACAAGCAACATTAAGAAAAGGAAGCTACACAAGTGACATCAAACTAAAGGATACACACGAGTGATGTCGAAAAAAAGAATCTTCACAATAAAGATAAATAATTGTTCTATACGTCAGTTAAAAACTCAAGTTGATCCTCAAATACGCCGAGATCTGAAGAAAGTCGAGGTTAATCTGAGCAAAACACTATAATATTGTCCATGAGGATTTGATGAATGTTTGTCATCATGAGAACATAGTCCTCAGTGATAAGATAAATGGACTTATTTCTGAGACTTTGCAAAAAGAAAGGGAAGATTCATTCCAAGTATTTCACTATAAGTGCACAAAGAAGAGCATCTTTTCTTTGCACAGTCCAGTGGCCAAAGCATCACAACACTGGCAGCTAAAAAGCATCACAAAGAGATAGAATTGGACAAAGAGGATGATAACTAGCACATGAAGATGTTTTTGCACTGAAATCAACCCTTTTAACTAATGTCGATAACCATAGCAAGACCAAACATAAAAACCCTAGAAAACATAAATAGGTTCGCCCATGACATCAAAGCCAGCAGACTTAAAGAATATGAAAACAAAATCACCAATGGTTTCGAAAGTGAGGTAGACATCACCGATAGTGATGCCCTCATGCCCAAGCCACCAAGGTCACTGTTTTAAATATCGGCCGATAATCGATATTATCGGCCGAGTTATCGGATTTGGGAGCAATCCGCTAGGATAAATTAAATTTTTAATCGGTTATCGTTTTTGTAGGTTTATCGGCGATTTATCGGCGTTATCGCCACTTATCGGCTGATAAATAATACTTTTTATCGGGATTATCAGGATTATCGGCCCATTTTGACTAACATTATATTTTTCAAGGCTATGATGCAAGTTTCGCTTTCTACAATTTGTTAGCGATTCTAAACATGATGATTTACATTTTGGTATGTTTATATTTCATTAAGCATGATTAGATTATATTTTTTAATTGTTATATTATATATACACATCATCTAGTATATCACTCCGATAAATACTACTTATCCCCGATATATCCCCGATTTTCGCTAT